GTGGAGACCCTCTCCCCGGAGGTCCCAGCCTTGGGGAGACCGCGGGACCTGGAACTCCAACAGACCCCTCAAGGGCCTTTCCTTCACTGACTCTCCCATCAGGGGTAAAGCAGAGAGATGGACAGGAACTGAGTAACGACCTGGATGCCCAGGTAACCTGCCCCCTCGCCCAAGGACTGGGTAACCGGAAGGAGAGAGAGGGGACCCGACCCCACCGTGGTGACCCACTCTGGAGCAAGAGGGCCTGGCCACAGATGGTCCTCCACTCATCAACCGACCTCACGCACTTTTTCCCCTCTCAATCCGTTTCTGGCCGGGGCTTGAAACAGGCAGTGCAACAAGCCAGGCGGGAGAGGCCTCCAGAGGTCAGGGAAGGCTGCCTGGGGCTGGGGCTGCCAAGACTTCACGATGGGGAGAAGGGAGCCCCGGAAAAGGAAGCGGAGGCAAGAGGGAAGACAAAGATCTTCCAGGAGGAGGGAAGTCAGAAAGGGAACTGGCCCCAGAAGAAGGAGGGTTACGAGCTGGGGAGGAGGGAGGAGGGAACCCGTGCGTGAAAGGAAGGAATGAATGGCTTTGAGGCACAGGTGCAAGATGGCCACCTGCATCGTAAGACAGCTTGGGTGGCTGATAATCTGAATGTCCCTGATGGAAAGGCCAATCACAGAGTTATTAAAGAGCATAATAAAGTATGTGTCTCTTTATATACATAGAGCATAGGATTACAAAAATAATAGCAATACATTGACTGAGCATTTCCCTTGTGGCAGGACTCCAGGAACTGACTTTTTTGTGGCAACAGTGACCCCATTAGACAGGTCCTAATATGCATCACCCCATTTTACAGACATGGAAAGTAAGGCCCAGCATGATGACATCATTGTCCAGGTTCATGGGGCAAGCAGGTGCTAGCTGGGATTTGAACCCTGGCCACCTGGAATCAGAGCCTGGCTCTGAGGTGTCCCTCAATAACAACCCCAGGGACAAGTACCTTGCCCTACTTTCCACAGTTGGAAGTGACAGAGCCGAGATTCCAACCTGCCTCTGTCTGAATCCCCATCCCAAACACTTAGCCTAAGGCAGTGTGGCCTCAAGGAAGCAGTATGTCAGTGTCAATAGCCTGTGGTGAGTCTTCAGGCAGGAAGAGGGTATGGGGTCCAGGCTCCGCCAGCCATGCTCACTTGGGGTACTCTCAGGCTCTGGGCCTCAGTTTCCCTATCTGAGCAATGGGAATACTGGGCAACGCCCTCCTCCCAGGGCTGTTATTTGGATACCTGAGGCCACACTGGTGATTCTCAGTAAGTGAGGCGCGGCTCACTCAGCTCCTGGGACTTGGGGGCACCCTATTCTCAAAGGGAGCCAGGGCCACCTCTCCCCATCCAGGAGCCACCATGCAGGGACCCCTCCCCCAGCAAACAAGGGTACAAAGAGGCCCGAGAGCCTGGCCCAGTTTCTGCCCCAGTGTCTCCATCTAGGACCCACCAGAGGACATGAAACAGGATCGGGATATCCAGGTGCGTTGGTGGCTGGGACAAGGCTAGGGTGTGGGATGAGGGAGGAAAGGCAAAGAGGACATCTGTCTGTTCGTCCGTCCATCCATCCATCCATCCATCCATGGCAGACAGCACAGGGGCAGGACAGGGACACATTTGTAGGGAGAAGAGGGCTGACATTTATGTTTGTGGAGGAGGGTGACCCCCCTTCTCGTCCCCACCAACCCCATTCCACAGGCGGTGGCCACCTCCCTCATGCCATTGACGCAAGCCAACCTGCGCATGTTCCAGCGTGCCCAGGACGACCTGATCCCTGCCGTGGACCGCCAGTTTGCCTGTTCCTCCTGTGATCACGTCTGGTGGCGCCGTGTGCCCCAGCGCAAAGAGGTGATGCTCCCAAGCTCGACCTTCATTCCGTCCCATACTTCACTCCTGAGCCCCGTCCTCAGCAGCCACCCCTCTGACCAGAGGACATGAGCCTCTGAGAGCTCAGTGACACTTCCAACCTTGGAGCCCGACTGTGAGCTCTGATCTCAACCCGTGGCACCGAGGTGGGCTCCTGACCTTGGATTTGAGAAGCCAAACCCCTGCCCAAGCGCCTGACCCTGTGCAGTTTGGCACCTACGGAGTCAAACCCGAGCCCCGCCACACCACGGCTGGCTTCTGCCCGGGGCCTGTGGGGCCCGCAGTGTGCCCACTGCCCTGGTGTCCACGTTGCCGCAGTGGCCGTCGCAGGCGGCCAGTGTGACCTGCTGGACATACAGTTCAGCAGCTCCAGCACCAGCAGCCTCTGCGGTGCCACTGCACTGGCGACAACCCAGTGCCCTCTCCACACCCCAGGTATCTCGGTGCCGGAAATGCCGCAAGCGCTACGACCCAGTGCCCTGTGACAAGATGTGGGGCGTGGCCGAGTTCCACTGCCCGAAGTGTCGGCATAACTTCCGGTGAGGGCACTGACCCCCACCCCACCCTCCTGCCCCTTCCCAGTCCTGTCCCACCCTGTCCTGGCCCCAACCCCGGCCCAGCCTCGCCCTCGGACCCTCACAGCCCTGCCCGCCCCCAGGGGCTGGGCACAAATGGGGTCCCCGTCCCCCTGCTACGGGTGCGGCTTCCCCGTGTATCCAACACGGATCCTGCCCCCGCGCTGGGACCGGGACATGGACCGCCGCAGCACACACACCCACTCCTGCTCGGCTGCCGACTGCTACAACCGGCGAGGTGAGCCCCACCACTGACCGCTCGGGCGGCCTGTGTCCTCCGTGTGGCCACAGCCCCACCCGCAGTCACCTTCCGGGCTCCCCTTTCCTTGGCCCGAGTCTTGCCCATGGGGTTCTGAGGTCTCGCGCAGTGGCCCACATCCAGGGTCCCGTGGCCTCTGTTCTGGGCTCCTGTCTTATCCCTGCAGTCCCAGCTGACCCCGTGTCCCTGGCTCTCTGTAGTCTCTATGTGCTCCGTTTCCTGCAGCTCTGTCCTCATAATCTGTGGACTCGGTCCCTTCCTGGCCTCCACAGAGCCCCACATGGCCCCTGCTGCCTCATCCCGAGTCTCCCAGGACCTTGGGCCCGTGACCTCAGCTCCTCTCCCTCCCCAGAGCCCCATGTGCCTGGCACATCCTGTGCACACCCCAAGAGCCGCAAACAGAACCATCTGCCCAAAGTCCTCCACCCCAGCAACCCCCACATCAGCAGCGGCTCCACGGTGGCCACTTGCCTGAGCCAGGGCGGCCTCCTGGAGGACCTGGACAACCTCATCTTGGAGGACCTGAAGGAGGAGGAGGAGGAGGAGGAAGAGGAAGAGGAGGAGGAGGAGGGCAGGCCCAGGGAGTGACCTCCGCGGGCGCACACACCAGACGCGGGCTCTGGATGCTCTGTGTTGTTATAAATGTGAGCTCAAAGCCGAGACAAGTGCCCTTGGGGAGCTGTCTGGGCCCGCGACACGGGTGGGGGACTCCTGGGTCCCATTCTGGGGCTCTGGGGAGCAAATCCACAGTGGGAAAGTCCGGGACAGGCTCAGCACTGAGCCACAGAGAGGTGCGGCCAGGACAATTTAGTCTTCTGCTGGGAAACACCCTGGGGCCAGGCGGGCAGAGGCCCGGGCAGTCAGGGCCTGGCGGGTCGGATCAGCATGGCGGCCTTCTTGAGGGAGTACGCCCCGCCACGGAACTCAGCCCAGTAGACACCATCCTGGTAGCGGTTTCGGTAGTGGCCACCACGGTGCCACACACCGTTGAGGTTGGAGTGGGCACAAGCATGGTACCACCAGCCCCCGCGCTGGTACAAGGCACAGTTACCTGAGGGGAAAAGAGTGGGTGTCCTCACCAGATTGAACAAGCCTCCCCTGCACGCCATGTGCAAGGCATGTGCCAGCCATCCCCTGGTCCTCCCCAGTCTTACTGAATATAAGCCCTGATCCTCCATTTCCTCTCCAAAATAAAAACCCTGGCCTCCCACTTTGTTTTTCAGAGTAATAGTCTTAATGCCTTCCCTGTCTCCTTACCAAAGTACAAGACACACCTTTCCCACTTTTAAAAATTAGTCATCATCACTCATTCCTTTATCAGGAAAAAAAAATTCCTGCTTCCTTTCTAGAATAAGAGACTGGGCTGGGGTGGGTGCAGCTCAGTGGTAAAGAGCTTTCTTAGCCTGTGTGAGGTCCAAGATTTGATCCCCAGTGCACATGCATGCACACACGCACAAAAAGAGCAAGAGTGAGAATATCCTGGTTCTCACCCTATGCCCTCCAGAAGAGAACAGAATCATAAAAGTCCTAGCCTTGTTCTCTTGCTTTCCTATTCAAATACTTATCAGAGGGGAATCCTGTCCACTGCTTTTCATTCCCTACCCAGAACAGGAGTCCCACCTGCCCTACCCTCCCTCCAGAATAAGAACTCCTACCGGAATAGGAGTCTCGATCTCTATCCAAAGTGCTGAAGGGTTTGTCGTTGTGCCAAGAAAGAGAATCTCCAGCGTCACCGTGGTACTGGCCAAGCCGTAGGCGATAGTGGTCACTCTCGGGTTCCAGAGAGAAGCTATCATAGTGGGCACGTGCCCCACGGCCCCCCCAGTCCTCCAGGAGCACCAGCAGCTCGTGGTCCCCCCGGCTGGTCAGCTGATGCACAGGTTCGAGGCCCAGCCAGTATTCCCCGTCAGGCCGCCCAAAGCCCACCTGGCGAGACGTGAAGAGTCGGGAGGTCAGGGACGTTGCCCTGCGCCCCCCCCACCCCGTGCCGCCCGGGCCTGCCCACCTTGTAGTGCTGCCAGGTGGTGAAGAAGTTGACTGAGCCGTCCTGGCGCCGCTGGATCACTGTCCACCCTCCGCCCTCCAGCTGCTGCTCGCACCACGCGGACACCTGGAGCCGGCCGAGTAGCAGCTCGTAGACCCCACTCTGGCTGTGGCCTGCCTGGTAGGCCTCCGCACAGTCCTGCCACGGGCCTAAGGGCACAGGGATGGAGGCACAGCCGGGCCAACCAACTCCTCAGCAGAACAAGAGTCCTCCTCCTTGCTGGTCCCCTCACAAAACAGACTCTGCCCTCCCTTTCCCTCATCCAAGTAACACCAGCAACCACTTCCTCACCTCACCTCGCAAGTCCTTCTCTCATAAGAGCAAATGTGGAGCCCAGGGCGCTTAGTTCTGTCATCTCCTCACCAGAATATATGTCCTGAACTTAGACTGAACCAACTCCACTCACCCAAGTAGCAGTCCTCCACCTGCTGTCCCCTCATCAAAATGAGAGTCCCTCCCCTCATATTTTCTCTCCTATTTTCACACCATAGTAAGAAATTTTGTCTTTATATAAGCGTTGCATTATAAGATAAAAGCAGCCTTTCCTCCAGTCTTCACTATGAGAAGACTCTCCCATGAAAATCTTGACTCATTTCCTTCCACCCACACTGCAATGGAGATCCCCTGGCTCCTCAGACCCCCTCATTTTACCTGATGGCCTGGTAGGGATCACAGGGGACCCTGCAGGCCTAGGAGAGGCCAAGGGGCCCTGTTGTCTCCGGGTCTGGTCTCTCTGGGGCTCTGGAGCTGGGTCCAGCCTCCTGCTGGTGTTACTGGTGCTGCCCACCAGACTCAAGGGCACCACAGGCACCAGGGGCGGGGGCAGGACCTGGGGCGATGGAAAAAGTCAAGTGCAATTGCATCAATGCCTAGCTCAGGAGGCATGGTCTCTCAGGGCCAGAGAGGATGTAGACTCTCCCAGTGCCCCAACAGGAACTTGGTGGGGGACGCGTCCCAGCCCTAAATCCCCCCCTGGAGATTCTCTCTTGGTCATCAAGCACAGATAGAGCTGGGCTAAAATTCTCTTTGGTGCTGAGAGCTTAACTCAACTGCACCTCAGTCTCCTCTGTGAAGCTGGAATAACAGGAGCATGTCCTACCTGCTATTTAACAGATTCTCCCATCAACACGGTAAGATAGGGACTATCAGAGAAACTATCTTTTATGCAAAATCCAGGGCCAGATATTTCTAGAATTCAGAATGGCATGGCAAAATTCTGAATGACAGGGATGCCCGGTCACTGGTCCTTATACACGGTAATAATATGCTTGGGTGGAGGAGCGTATGAATATTCACATTAAATGGGTAAGTAAAGGCTATAAATAGCCCCTAACTATATTTTGACCCAAATAAGTAATGAAAGGAACGGATAGGAATCTCGTTTCCAGGTTTTTCGGATTTCGGAACTGCAGATAACATCCTGGGGTTGCAGAAGGCCCATTTCACAGATGATGTGCACAGCAAACAGATGCTACTGAGAAAGGCTTTCTGGTTACCTGCTGTTGCCCGCCGGCGCCCCCCGGGCACAGGCGCTCCAGGCGGGCGATGAGGTCGCTCTGCTGGCTGACCAGCTGTGCCAGCTCTCGAAACTTGACGTCCAGCTGGTGGAAGCGGGCGGCGGCCTGCTGAGCCTCGGCCGACGCATTGAGCACGCGTTCCCCGAGCAGCGCCAGAGCAGCGGCAGGCTCCGCCCCCTGGCTCGGCCCCGCCCCCGTGCCGGCCTCATGCTGCAGCTGCGCGCGCAGCTGGCCCAGGCGCGCGCTCAGGCCGCGGCTCTCCTTGCGCAGCGCGCGCACCTCGCCGGCCACTGCGCCGTCGGCGGCGGCCAGCCTCTGCAGCTCGCGCAGCAGCTCCTCGTGGCGGCCGACGCGCATGCGCAGCGCCGCCACCTCGCTGGCGTTCACGGCTTCGGAAGTGGGTCGTGCGGCAGCTGCTCCGCTCCAGCACACGGCGCCGGTGAACTTCTGCTGGGGCAGCACGAAGGTGTAGGTGCAGCGCGGGGCGCCCGCCCGCGCCCACGACGCGCCCAGCAGGAGCAGCAGCGGCAGCGCGCGCAACCGGGGCACCGACATGACGTTCCTGCAAGCAGGGGAGGACAGGAGGCGGTTGCACCGGGAGCCCACGTCCGGCCCCCCATTCGGGCGACGCACGCGGGCATGCGTGTGTCCACTCCTGCTTGGCCGCGGGTCCGGGATCCGTCTCCGTCTCTTTCTCCGAGACGCCCCAGGGCGATCCCGCTCCGGATCCAGGCGCCCTGCGGTTAAAATGCCTCCTGCATTCATTCATCAAATGCTTATTGAGCGCCGACTGTGTGCCAGACTCTTTTCTAGTCGTGAGCGAAGCACAAAAGTCCCCGCCCTAGTGGGCAAGAAACAAATATAGGATTCGTAGAGTATATTAGTCAGCCGGTGCTAAGTGCTAAAAATAACGGTAGCTCGGAGCGGGAGGGATGTGAAGAGTCCACACAGGGGCTGTTTGAGAGGAGGTGGATGCGGACAGGGGAAGGCTTCCAGGAGGAGGTGACGGCAGGAAGTCGTGGGAAAGTCTGGAGAGAAGCAACCCCGGCAAGGGTAACGCAAGTGCAAAGGCCCGAGTCGCCCACGCCGGCGGTACTAAGGAAAATGTAAGGGGCTGGAGCAAAAGCAGAGGGAGAACGCTTGCTTAGCATGTGCAAGGCCCGGGGTGCCTTCCCAGCACCTAAAAAAAAAAAAAAAAAAAGCAGAGGAAAGCGGGTGGTGAGATGGGGGAGGCGCAAGTCTGGTAACAAAGCCCTCCCCCTCCAACCCAGAGTGAGCACATCTGCTTCCCTTCATAACAGACCCAGGCCTCCGCCAAGCCTGGGCGCCTCTGTTTAGATCCTGAATTCCTCCAGCCCCCTGCCCCCCCCCCCAGGGTCCCAGCTCATGACACCACCTGGCTTTCCTTACAGCAGCTGCCCCCCCACTTCCAACACTCTGCCCTCAGCAGCCAGTGGACACCTTGACCTCAGGAGTCTGTTCCTATCCTTCCTCTACTCAACCTTCAGTAGTTCCCACCTCACTTAGCGTGAAAGCCCTAGTCCTCCCAGTGACACACTCTACCTCGTCCCCTCCCTGCCCTCACGCCTCCAAAGCACCCAGGAACAGCACTTGGCCAGATCCTGCCTCAGGGCCTTGGCATTTGCAGTCAGCTCCACATGCAACATTCTTTGGATTTTAACGTGCCCCCCCCATCCTGGTTCAGGTCCCACTAGATCTGGGCTGCACTTCCTGACTCTCTGTGTTTTTCAGTTTATGCCCCACTCATTGCTACTTATTTGCATACCCCCACTGCATTCCCCGGGGTTTCTGGGGTTTCCTTGGCTGCCTTATCCTGTGCCTAAAATAGTGCCTTAGCACTCCTCCCCAGGCCCCAGTCCCCAGGTCAGGTGTGCCCCAGCCCCAGGTGTTCCAAGTGCTCCTGCAGGTGAGCTCAGACAGAATCTTTACTGGCAAATGGATACTTGTGGCCACCACCCTGGCCCTGCCAAAGCCACACCTATGCCCTCCTCACCTTCATCTCCAGGCCCCAGGGTTCACACCTTTGCAGTCTCAGAAGGGGACATGCATGCCTGTGTGTGCTTACTGACCCTTGGAACCTGTATGCCTGTTTGTGTGGCAACAGGGACACAGCCTCAACCAAAACACAGAACCTCTGCCCTCCTGGATCTAATAGTGTCCTTGGGGAAACTATGGAATACTCCGCAGGGAAGTCAGAGCAATGGAGTTTAGGAGGAAAATCAGATAGGAAGAGGGAGAGTCTGGAGCTGGGGAGAAGGGACGTAAAGAGAGAGATCAGGAAAAGTCTCACTGAAAGGGCGACACTTGCGCAAAACCTGAAGGAAGAGAGAACGGGAACAGTAAGTGCAAAGACCCTGAGGTTGGACCTTGCTTTGGATATGCCCAGGGAACAGCAGGGGAAGCCCTGTGTGGAACAGAGTGAGCAAGAGGGAGAGCAGGAAATGAAGGCAGAGAGGTAGCAGGACATAGGGTGCTCAGTATTGGGGGCCTTGAGGAGGACTTGGGGTTCTACTCTGAGTCGGGGGGGCCAGGAAGGGTTCTGAGTGGTGGAAGGGCCCATTTGCTATTGTACTGACACACCAAGAAAGAGCTGTCAGGGTTGGGAGGGTCTTCTCTTTCCAACACTCAGTCTCCCACAACAGGAATGGACCAAATCCCCTGGAGCTGGAAGGTGTGTAAAACCCAGCGCCTATGGGGCTGGGGATGTGGCTCAAGCGGTAGCGCGCTCGCCTGGCATGCGTGCGGCCCGGGTTCGATCCTCAGCACCACATACCAACAAAGATGTTGTGTCCGCTGAGAACTAAGAAAAAATAAATAAATGTTAAAATTCTCTCTCTCTGTCCCCCTCTCTCTCTCACTCTCTCTTTAAAAAAAAAAAAAAAAAAAAAAAAAAAAAACCCAGCGCCTTTCATGTTGTCAGCCTGGGGTGGTGAGCAGGAGGCCTGGGAGCCTCCTCCGCCCAGCCAAGCAGAGGCCAGGGTCTCCTGACAAAGAGAATCAGCATCCACCTGCACTCCCATCTCTCACCTCTCACACGACCAAGACCCTGAATCCAGCGAAGCTCACAGCAGGCACAAGAAGTCAGAGGAAAAGCCGAGGGTCCGGGAGGGCCTCTGAGCTAAGGAAGGGGAGAGGCTGGTGAGAAAGGAGAGAGAAGACTTGGTAACCACCCCCGGCCCCCAGAATCTGGGAGTGGAGCAACTGTAAATATTTAGCCTTTCCCACGTGAGAACGGAGGCAGAATTGCCAGACCCCCCTGCCCAGGCCACCAGAGCCTGATAACACCGGTCAGTGCCCTGGACGTCCTTTCTCTTCCTCCCAGTGGAGCGAGTGGGAGGCTGCAGGCCCTGGTAGGACCTGCAGGATCCCAGCCCCAGACACATAGAAGGATAATGCTGGAGAGCATCAGTGGGCACCTACTGTGTGTCCGACGCACCTCTGAACTCTACACCTTTTATCTCATTTAATCCTAGAAGCCCACTCCAGATTCTCTGTGTAGCAACATTTTAGAAAAGGGAAAAAGTTCAGAGAGGGTGAGCCACTTGCCTGCACTCACACGGCCAGAAAGAGATACAGGGGGATTCAGTCCAGATAGCTTGGCTCCTGAACTTATACATACAACACAACAGTCACACACATGCGTGTGCATAACAAAACAAAGACACACACACTCGTGCCGTTACCCAACAAAACTGACAAAGTACTGCGCAAAGCAGCAAAGATAGACAAATGAAGTTCATGTACACATGACCACTAGTTCATCTGGCACACCCACAAAGACAAGGAGGGCTAGGGACATTGCTCAGTGGATTCCATCCCCAGCACCATAAAAAAAGAACAAAAGACACAAGAAACATAACGAAGATCTAGGCAACAATTGTATGTTCAAATATGGCCACACAGTGAAACTCAAAGGGAAATATCCACGGGTTGTGGGTCTGGGTCTGCCCCTCAGACATGAACACGCCAGGTACATGTGGCCACACACAGGCAGCACAGAGATACCAAGCCGGCACACAGCAACGCCCAGATGCCCATCTGCCAAACCATGAATGTTTGTCCCTCATTCACTGGGTCACATTTTCACAAAAGTCAAATCACACAGGGACAGAACAGGAGGAAATAACCATGCAGTCATTTCTCAGAGGTAGAAAGAGATTCATGCAGAGCCCCCCCGGAAGCGGGCCGGGGCCCCTGACCTGTATGAAGGCCCTGCCGGCCAGCAGCCCAGCACGGGGGGAGCAGCCTCCTTCCCCACTTCCAACAGTCCTGAACTCCTGCAGTAACCCGAGTGGACTCCGGGGCTGCAAGAGGAAATGGTTGTCCCAGATCTGAGCGAGGCTGCCAGGCTGGGCTCTGGGCCGGGGCTGGGCCCCCCACCCTCAGCCCCTGCCGGCTTCCCCATTGGCAGCAGAGAGAGGAGAAACCTCCTAAGTCACAGACAGACTGAGGGAGGGAGAGAGGCCACCGAGTGGAGAGACCTGGGGAGAAGGGAGAGACAGGGAAGCGATGGAGAGGAGAGGGGAAGGCTGGAAACCGACTGATGTTGGAGGAAAGGGAGGCCGAGATGGGAGGACAAAGGATGGGGAGGGGGCAGGGGCTGGGGGAGCCGAGAGAGGGCCTGGGCGGGTGGCCTCCCCTCCCAGGCGAGGTTTTGGGGGAAAGCCAGAGGCTGAGGCCAAGACCCGGGCTCTGGGTGGAAGAGGGCGGGGTGGACTATTCTCGAAGCGCCCGCCGTGCCCAAAGTCTCCGGAAGTTGAGGTGGAGTTTCCATCCCCAGCCCATCGGCCGACAGGACGAGAATGGAAAACCGCCATGGCCTGATTCCCTCTCTGGCTGCTCCCAAGTGCCTGGTGCCAAGGTGTCAAGCACTGTGTGCACATTCCGTCTCTTGGCTCGCAGCCCAGGGCAGACAGTCCCACCCTCACTTTGGGGTACTGTAGGATCCTCGAAGTGGAGACGTAATGGCGCCGCTGGACGAAATGGGCCCGGGCGGGATTCGAACCTGTGGATAGGCTTCTCCGCCTCCCGGAGCTGTTCGACCCCACCCTGGTTTCCGTAGAAACAGGCACCGGTGTCTCCATAGCAACCCCTCCAAAGATTTCCTACTCCCCGCCCCCGCTCCCCTCGAGGCCACTTAGTGCGCAGCCCGCCCGATGACGCCATCGGCTCCGGCGCCGGAAGTGAGCAGCGCGGCGCCGGAAGTGGCCGGCAGAGACGGCCTCGTGGAATAGACGGCAGCATGGGGCAATCGGGGAGGGTATGGCGCGGCGGCCGAGGGTGCGGGGAGTACCGGCGGGGTCCCGGCGGAGGCCGAGGCGCTCACCGTTCGTCTGTCGTCCCCTCAGTCCCGGCACCAGAAGCGCGCGCGCGCCCAGGCGCGGCTCCGCAACCTCGAGGCTTACGCCGCGCAACCGCACTCGTTCGTGTTCACGCGGGGCAGTGCGGGTCGCAGCGTCCGGCAGCTCAGCCTGGACGTGCGTCGGGTCATGGAGCCGCTCACCGCCACCCGTCTGCAGGTCTGCCCAGCCAGCCCGCCTCTACCCACCCTGGGCCGTCATCGCGGCTGAGGGCCGGCTCTGAAACCTCGGGAGGCCTCTGTGTCCCGACTGGAGAACGGGACCTACCTGAGGACAGGGTCTCTGCATCTAGCTTGGGGCTTAGTTGGACAGTGGGGACAGCAAACCGTAGCTTCTCTGAAAGACCTGGGGCAAGGCTTCACTGGGCTTCTGATTGCTCATCTGTTAACGAAAGGTGCATAGGAGGCAAGGAGCAGAGATGGCACTTAACTAAACCCTGGTTCTAGCGATCGGGACCCTCAGCTGAAGGTCACTGTCTTGGTCAGTGAGGAATACCGCTATTCGTTTCTTTTCCTTTTTGTAATTTCTAGATCCGTAAGAAGAACTCGCTGAAGGACTGTGTGGCAGTGGCTGGGCCCCTTGGGGTCACACACTTCCTGATCCTAAGCAAAACAGAGACCAGTGTCTACTTTGTGAGTGGGCATCCACACCTTTCATCTCCCCTAAGCCCTCTCCTTCCTTGTCTCTCATGATGAAACCCTGTGCCTCTGAGCTGCCATGATTCTGGCTTCAAAGTAAACGCTCTGAAGAGACAGGCAGAGGTTCCCACTTGCCCTGCCCCTGCTGAATACCTGCATCCGCACTGATCCTCTTTTTCTCCTGCAGAAACTGATGCGGCTCCCAGGAGGCCCCACTTTGACCTTCCAAATCAACAAGGTGAGGGGTGGAGGTGGTACAGGGGCCATGTTAGGTAGGAGCTGGGCTTGGGGATGGCCCCTGCCACATGTGAGTGATAATCATCCACTCCCGTCCTGCCTTGCAGTACACACTGGTGCGCGATGTGGTCTCCTCGCTGCGCCGGCACCGCATGCATGAGCAGCAGTTTGCCCACCCTCCCCTCCTCGTACTCAACAACTTTGGACCTCACGGCATGCATGTGAAGCTTATGGCCACCATGTTCCAGAACCTGTTCCCCTCCATCAACGTGCACAAGGTAGGCTGGGCCTCTTGTCTTGGCAGGTGTGGGTGGATGGGTCATGGAATGGGTACCACCAGCCCTTTATTAATGACCTTATTTGATAGAGGGGAAACAGGTTTACAGAGATGTCATTAGCCTGAGGTTAGAATCAAGAGTGTGCGACTAGTTGGGCACAGTAGTGCGTGTCTGTAATCTCTGCACCTCAGAGAGCTGAAGCAGAATTGCAAGTTCAGAGCCAGCCTCAGCAACTTAGTAAGGCCCCGAACAACTTAGACCCTGTCTGAAAATAAAAAAGGTGAGGGGGAGGGGTTGAAAGAGTGCAGGTCTGGAGTTTTGTTTGGGGCTCATTATCCCCACTCCACCACCTTCAGAGTTGGGGATTAAACCCAGGCCCTTGTGCATGCTAGGCCAAGGACTATAGGGTTTGGTTTGGTTTGGCACCAGGGATTGAACCACCCAGGGGCACTTAACCACAGAGCCACATTCCCAGCCCTTTTTTATTTTGATGCAGGGCCTTGCTAAATTGCTGAGGCTGGCTTTGAATTTGGGATTCTCTTGCCTCAGTCTCCTGAGCTGCTGGGATTACAGTCATGTGCCACCGTGCCCAGTAGGACGCAGTTTTTTTTCAGAGCCCCAGCCCCTAGTCCATGTTGGCAGCAGTTCTCCTGCTCAATAGGGAATCTGATGTGGGCACCACTTGCAGCACCAGCAACTGCATGGCATCACCAGTGCTCCCCACCAAACATGAGGTTCCTGGAGCATGGCCAGTGGTGTGGGGCCTGCTTGGCCAGGGTTGTGCAGGCTGCAGGCAGCTCACTGGGTCCCTTCTCTTCCCTCAGGTGAACCTGAACACCATCAAGCGCTGCCTTCTCATCAATTACAACGCTGACTCCCAGGAGCTGGACTTCCGCCATTAGTGAGTGCTCTGAGAGGGAGTGAGGGGTGCAGGGCCAGGCCTCCTTGTGCGACTGATGACAGCACAGCTGCTGAGACTCCGTGATTGCTCAGTCTCAAAGTAAACGCTCTGATGCACTGCCCAGAGGCAAGGGGCACAGAATGGGTTCTGACGCTGTGACCTAACGTCACTCGTACCCCACCCCGCTTCTGCCGTGCAGTAGCATCAAAGTGGTTCCCGTGGGTGCAAGTCGGGGGATGAAGAAGCTCCTGCAGGAGAAGTTCCCCAACATGAGTCGCCTGCAGGACATCAGTGAGCTGCTGGCCACGTGAGGAGGGCTCAGGGTGGGAGGTCACTGCAATCCAAGGGCCCTAGAACTGTCCCTGGAGTCTGATCACCTGCTAAGTCCCATGTGTCCCCACAGGGGTGCAGGGCTGTCAGAAAGTGAGGCGGAGCCTGATGGCGAACACAACATTACTGAGCTACCCCAGGCCATTGCAGGACGTGGCAACATGCGGGCCCAGCAGAGCGCAGTGCGGCTCACAGAGGTGATGCTCAGTGGCAGGGGTGACCTTCTCTGGCAGCCCCCAGTCCCAAAGAAGAACTGACTCTTCCTCCATCCCCCATCCCCCCAGATTGGTCCCCGGATGACACTGCAGCTCATTAAGATCCAAGAGGGCGTCGGGGAGGGCAACGTGCTGTTCCACAGTTTCGGTGAGGCTAGGGTTGGCCAGGCTCGGGTTCAGGGATACGAGGCCAGCCAGGGTAGGTTGTGGTGCTACAGCACACAGGACCTTGGTGACCTGTGTCCTCCTGTTCAGTGCACAAGACGGAGGAGGAGCTGCAGGCCATGCTGGCAGCCAAGGAGGAGAAGCTGCGGCTCAAGGCCCAGAGGCAGGATCAGCAGAACCAGAATGTCCAGCGCAAGCGGGAGCAGCGGGAGGCCCACAGGTCCCTGTGGACAGCTGGGCGGGCTGGATGGCCCTCCAGCAGGTGGCTGGCTGACAACCATCTCCTGCAGGAAGAAGAGCCTGGCAGGCATGAAGAGAGCTCGTGCTGATGGGGACAGTGATGCTGAGGACCCAGGGGTGCCCCCAGAGGCCGAGAGGGCTGGCCAGCAGGAGGAAGAAGATGAAGCAGAGTATTTCCGCCAGGCAGTGGGCGAGGAACCTGATGAGGGTGCGTGGCAGGGTCCTGCAGCTGGGCACCCAGGACATGTTTTTGGTCCTTGGGGGCCCTGACGACTGTCTTCCCACAGACATGTTCCCCAGGGTGACCAAGCGGAGACTGCACACCGGGCCTCCAGGCAAGAAGCAGCGGGTGAAGGAGCGGAGGCCTAACCGAGACAGGGGTCAGGACGGTGGCCGGAGGCCTCTGAAGCCCAAGAGTAGACCCACGGGAGTCCAGGGCAAGCAGGGGCACAGAGGAACTGCCCGAGAGCGCAGCCGGGGAAGGCCACTGAAGAGAAGGGCTTGAGTCTGAGCCCAGTGATGCATGGAATGCCCCAGATTGGGGCCCAAAAGAGCTGCCCCTGTGCAGCCCTGGTTTCCTTTCATAAAGGAGTGGTAGTCTAACCCCCAGCCCCCCAGCCCCACCCTCACACATCAATAAAGACTGAACTTGGCGCGTGTCTGAAGTCTGCTTTCTGGATGGATCAGGGGCACCTGGTGCCCAACATGACAGCCTAGGAACCAGGGCCAACCTGGTTTCTGCCCCAGATCCTGGTGCATGTCCCCCCCTCTGGCAGTGAGGAGACCAGTGGTTGACCATGGTGTCCTGTGCTGAGGCACTGGGCCCCTCCTGGTCTCCCCTCCCCCAGGTCCCTGAGCAGACTACCTTCTGCTGTGGTGCAATGAGGAAGGAAGCTGGGCGTCTGACCAGCTCTGCAGGCTGAGGGAGGGGCTGCTGGTGACTGGGGTGGAGCCTCAGCCGGGCTTGGCGTGGGTGGCGGGCCACAGGCTGGCTGATCAGGCCATGGCGGCCACCATCTCAGGTAAGGAGCAAGTGCTGGACTAATTAAGGGTCGAGTGGACACATGGCAGGAGTTAGGCTGCTCAACCCAGGTGGTGACAGAGGGGCTGGCCAGGGATCTTCAGGAAGAGGGGAGAGGGTTAAAAGGTGCTTGGCAGGAGGCTTCAGAACCTTCTGAGGGACAGGCTGGGCTGGAGCGGGGCTTGCGCATCCCCAAGAACTAGGGGCCAGCCTGCCACACAGAACAGGCCAAGTTTTCAGATCACAAAGCTAAGGCTGAGGGAGGGGCACACAAGGGGATGGGAACCAGCTCTGCGGCACTTATTGGGGACAATGACAGTGGCGCTTCCTGCCCTCCTGGAGGGGATTCTGGTGGAAATGTTCATTATGATCAAAAGAAGATAACCTGGCTATGGTAAAGAGCAGGGAAAGGGGGCTGGAGGACATGAGCGATGCACGTCCCACTTGAGGGAGATCAGTCCTCCTCCAGACATGGTCAGATTCCAGGGGTAGCAGGAAGGGTGACTTGCATGACTGACTGGTGACTCAGTAACTGAGCAAGAAGAACAGTCAGTGCAAAGGCCCAGGGGCTGGACATGTCTAAGGATCAGCCAGGAAGCTGGTGGTTTGGGGGTTGCTGTAGGGAGTCATGGCTGCGGAGAACACGAGGGAGGGAGAGTGAGAGGGATGGTTCCTTCAGGGCTTTGTGGGATGGAACTTTATTTTGGGGGGGAGAGGGGATTCTTGGAGTTAACCCCAGGCCCTTGCACAAGCCAAGAACATGCTCTTCTGCTGAGTTCTAACCCCTGCAGAACTGACCTTTCTGAAGCAGGAGCCATGGAGGCCTGTGCGGGTGAGACCTCCCTCTGGTGCTCACAGGCACCCTCTGGGTTGTAGGGAGGACAAGGTGAAGCAGGAAGCTGGAGGTCCAGGGCTCACAGGGCTGGTATAGGTGGGGGATGATGGGGGCTGGCCCAGGAAGGGGCTAGGGAGGGACAGATTCTGATGTAGCACTGCTGGGACTTGCTGATAGATTCGACTTCAAGGACTAGTGTAAGTTTGGGGACTCCCTGAGGTTCCTGCCCTGGGGCCCACGGCTCTGCTCTGGGTAGTCATTGCTGACCTACATGCAGACCACCATGAGAGCACTGGCCCTCTGCTAGTGCTCAGCCGGTCCTCCGTGACCCAGTGAATTCATCAGCTAAGTAATAGAATCTCTTGACTCTGGGCCAGATTCCATTGCAAACAGGAGCCGAGGCTGGTGTCCCTTGCAGGACATGAGGACCTCGGGAGATGGTGCATGCAGGCCCCAGCAGGAAGAATCAACCTCACTGCAGATGTGGGCTGAGGGCAGCAGGAACCATGCTGAGGAAGGACAGAGCTCAGCTGTTCACATCCCCCACCCACAGGTGACAAGTCCTGCCCTGAGAAGTTCACAGCAGCTGCTGACCTTGTGCTTAGTAGCTACCAGCAGGACTTCCTCTGGCCTGTTCTGGTGGCTGAGTTCCTGGTGGCCATGGCTGGCAATGGCCTGGCCCTGTACCGCTTTGGCAGTCGCGAGCAGCGGCCCTGGAACCCAGCTGTGGTCTTCTCTGCCCAGCTGGCCATCAGCAACCTGCTCTATGCCCTGACGCTGCCCCCGCTGGCCGCCTACTTCTACCCACCCAAGAACTGGCGCTATGGGGACATTGCCTGCCGCCTGGAGCGCTTCCTCTTCACCTGCAACCTGCTGGGGGGTGTCATCTTCATCACTTGTATCAGCCTCAACCGATACCTGGGCGTTGTCCACCCCTTCTTCACCCGCAGCCACCTGCGGCCCAAGCATGCCTGGGCCATCAGTGCCACTGGCTGGGCCCTGGCAGCCCTGCTGGCCGCCCCCATGCTCAGCTTCTCCCGCCTAAAGAGGCCTCAGGAGGGAGCAGGTCCATGCAGCACAAACAGGCCTGAGGCCTGCATCAAGTGCCTGGGGACAGCAGATGACCACCAGCTTGCAGCCTACAAAGCCTACAGCCTGGTACTGGCAGGGCTGGGTGGTGGCGTGCCACTATTGCTTTCCCTGGTGGCCTATAGTGCCCTGGGGTGGGCCGTTTTTCGCAGCCATGGTATGACAGCAGGCGAGAAGCTGCGTGTGGCAGTGCTGGTGGCCAGTGGTGTAGTCCTCTACGCCAGTTCCTACATGCCCTATCACATTACACGGGTGCTCAATGTGGATGCCCGGCAGCGCTGGTACACCCGCTGCCCAGGCTTTGCAAATGAGACCCAGGCTAGGGGGGCGCTGGAGCTGGGGCCCTATCTGGGCTTCCAGGTGATGCGGGGCCTTGTGCCCCTGGCCATCTGCATACATCCCCTGCTCTACATGGCTGTGGTGCCCAGCCTGAGCTGTTGTCGCCAAAACTGCCCACAGTGTGTCGGAGGCCACCCAGAAGACAAGACTGCTGGCCAAGACCTGTCTCTTGATAATGACAATCTCCGAACCCCAGAACCCCAGGCCTCTGAGCTGAGCCTGTGACCCGCCTGCTCTCGCCACCAGGCACTGGGACAGGACTAGAGTGAGAACCAGAGCACAGCAGGCATCGGCCCTGACGCACCAAGAGGCCGCTGAGCTGCCACTGCCTCCCTAGAGCAAGGCCTGTGCCCCTGGCCAGGGTGGGACAGCTGGAGCCCAGGCCAGCACACGATGGATTCCTCACCCACAGCACCCACCCAAGAAGGCCCCACGGGTTTAGGGGGCCAACACCAGCCTGGAGAGCTGGTGCCATCACCCCAGGGAGGAGGCGCGCGAGAATGAGGAGGACACACGTGGGTGCTTTGAGCCTTTTAATGCCCTTGGAGTCCCCTGCTCTTGGAGGCTCCTTTCCGTCACAGAGGTCTAGGCTGGACAGCAGTGGCAGTGGTGACAGGTGGCTCAGTTGGTTGATGGCCTAGAGAAGGAGGAAGTAGTGAGGACAACAAAATGCAGGACGTGATGGCACCGCAAGACCCCCCCCACCGCAAACAGCAGGGCTCTGGGGGAGGCCAGGCAGTGTGGTGGCAGGGCACACGAGGAGTCAGGCTATGGGTCACAAGCTGGGCCCTGCCTGCCAGACTGGTGGTGGGTCCCAGGCAAGGCAGCTGTCTGTCACTAATGTCTGATGGCCTCTCTGCCAGAATTTTTAGAAAAATGACAATAAAGGAAGGGCAGTTCAAAACAGCCTTGACGATTCAGTTGGGGTGGGACCCACGTCAGCCTCACTGTGATCTGTGTCAGGGAGGGGGCAGGTCTGGGGCAGCAGGGGTCTTACTTGGCCCATTCCACATTGAGGATGAGGTGGTCGTAGCCGAAGCCAGACACCCCGGCGATGGCACGTGCGGCGTCCTCCCGGCGGTGGAAGCTTATGAAGGCAAAGCCCTGGAAGAAGGCGAGGCTCAGCAGCCAGACCCGGGATAGCGCCCGTCCACCTGCCTGCCCACCCCCGCCACTGCCCACCCACCTTGGACTGGCCAGTGGTCTTGTCCTTAGCCAGGTAGATGCGAGAGATGGAGCCAAAGGGCCTAAAAAGCTCCTGCAGGTCTGTCTCACGCGTGTCCTCGGATAGGTTGGTGACACGAATGGTGGCGTTGTCATCAGCTGTGCGTAGGGAACAGGTGATTATGAGAGGAAGGCCCCACCCCACCCCACAACCACAACGCAGGGGTAATTACAGGGTGCTGGGAGGCGTCCACCAGCCAGCCTGGCACCCAAACACCCCTCACCTCTGCGGTTGGGCTGCATGGACTCCCCACGGCGACTGGCCCCATCCCGCAAGCTCGGTGGCACGTACTTCCCAGTCTTGTTCTGTGCGGCCTGCACGGGCTCCAGTTCTGCAAACCCAAAGTACGGTCCCAGTGAAGCCTTGCCACGTGCCAACAGAGTGACAGATCTGCCCGACCACCCAGATCCAACCATGCCTAGACGCAGGTACCATCTGCCAAGCCACAGAAGTCAGGTCACTTTGAGGCCTCTCAGAGCCTCAGTGTCCACAATGACACCATGATCACATCCAGGAAGAGGATACTCTTTGAGCACCCTGCCAGCAACACCAGCAGAGCAAGGGCTCACAGGGCCAATGCAGTCCCAGGCACCCACAGCCCAAGGTCACATGGAAAGGGACAGTTCCCAAGGGCTCCACACATGGCAAGTGATAAGTGCAACTGCATACAAGCCCCCAGAGGACATCCAGACTCACACTCGTTCCCAGCGGGCTGAAGGGCTGAGACCTCAGACAGGCACTTGAGTCCCACAGACACACACACTCAAGTCACGATGGTGAGGAGAATCACAGTCAGGGAGTCACATACAGGGGACAGCCACATCCCAATCACAGTCAGTGCAGTTACACACACAGGGCCCCAACAAGGAGACAGGCCCAATGGAGCACAGCCACAGATGCTGTTAAGTGGGAGATGACAGCTACACACAGAGCCAGGACAGCCCAGGACTCTCCAGGTGCCCAATCCCATCCCGCGCCACCCCAGGCCATGCCGTACCTCCCGGCAGCTTCTCCTTCTCGCCCGTGGACAGGCCTAGCTGCTCTGCCAACTCCTTCTGCATGGGCCCAAGCGTGTCCTTGTACGGGCAGCGGGTGGTCCAGTGGTCACCCTTGCAGATGCGACAGGACACTATCTTCTGGCCCTTGAGCTTGTTCATCGGATCCTCCTCCTCCTGGCAGTTCAGGTCCTGGCAGGGAAGCAGGTGGCAGCAGCTCAGAGGGGGCTGCTTCACCCCTGCTACCACCACCCTGGGCACCAGCCCCACCCTCAGCCCCACCTACCTCTTTGCTGGTGATGAATGTCATGGAGACATCATCACTGACTGTGGTGGTGGCCACATTGGGGCCTGGTGGGTCAAACTCTGAGTTCCCGAATTTCTTCCAGTTCTAGGCTCAGAGAGGGATGGGTCAGGATAAAGATTGGGGTCACACCCTGGGGCACCCCAGGCCTACCACTGCCTAGAGTACCCCATTTTTACTCTCTCCAAACACCTCCCCATCATGGGAACAGTGACTGTTCCCATTTCTGAGGAAGCAGGGGCAGCTCTCAATCAACACAAGAGTTCCAGGTGACAGAGACTCAGGGCGAGGTAGGAGCCAACTACATAGTCAACAATTCCCAGGGCAGCTTGCTGGGCCAGCTCCCACCAGGAGGCAATGCTCAGGAATGTGGGGGGTCACTCAGAGTGAGGAACCTTGAGAGACTTTAAACAGTGAGCCTCAACTTACCCCCTATAGAATGGGGACCACAAATGCTCCCTGGGCTGCTGTGGAGATCAGTGCCTGGCATGGTGTCTGGCACAAAGTGCAGAGCAAAGTGTATTAAATGTACTTAATGTTGTTACTTCTTCCAGAAGCCCTGAATCCTGGGTAAATGAAAGCTGCTATGCCACCCCAAGGGAGGGCTAGTTCCTCCAGGTAGACAGTCCAAGAGGAATAAGAATCTAGCCCCAGGGCAGGTGTGGTGGCACACACCTGTAAGTACAGCTACTCAGAAGGCTGAAGCAGGAGGATCTCAAGTTTGAAGTCAGCCTGGACAACTCAGCAAAATCCTATCTCAAAAAACATTTTTTTTTTTTTTTAAATGAGTTAATGTGCTGGGGGTACAACTCAACTGTAAAGCACCCCTGGGCTCAATTCCTAATAACATATACAAAAAAAAAAAAAGTGGGGGATGTATCTCAGAGGTAGAGTGATTGGCTAGCATATGCAACGACCTTAGTTTAATCCTTGGTACGAGAGGTTTAAAAAAAAAAAAAAAAACAAGAATCTAATACTGTCTACTTTTCAAGGCCCCAGAAGAACGCGAAAATACTCAGAGCTCAATTCTGCTTTGACAACACAGGTGCAAACAGTTAAACCCTTCCTCCAACAGTGAAAACTCCTGGGTCAGTTCCTAAAACGGGAAGAAGGGTCTCACCTTCCTCCTTGCAACAGCCTTAGAGGCCTTTCGGGTCTCAATTCTGAAGGTGCGGACAATCTGTGGATGAAAGGGGAGAGTGTCAGGCTTCCTGCATTCCAAAGTTCCTGGGACCAGGGGATCTTCATCATCAACCCACCCAATCTATGTGCCCCCAAGCACCAGGGGACTCACCCTCTGTCACCACTCTAGCCTCACCTTGAATTTCTTGCCGTCTTCATCTATCTTGTACTCAGTCACTGTCTTTATGTTTCCATTGATAACCTCCTTAGGAGGTGGCAGTGGAGCTGGGAGAGGGGAAAAGTTGAGGGAGACTGCCCTGGGTAATGGAGACCCAGGTGGGAATGTGGCTGGGGAAACACAAGAGTTCCAGGTGACAGAGAGAGACTGGGGTGAGGTGGGAGACAACTACATAGCCCAGAGGTAGAGAGGAAGAGGTCACTTACCTCCTGGAAGTAGCTCAGGTTCTGGGCTGGTATCGCCAGTGGCCAGAGGGATGCCCTTAAGGAGCTCGCTGGTGACACATTTGTCTGTCAGAGGGAGTGTGGGAAGAAAGGTCTAAGCTAAGATGAAAGGACCTCTGGGACAACTCCACACCAGGAGCTGATGAAGGCGGGACCAAGGGCAAAGGGCTGGCCAGGCATACGGCTGGGTGGTGACCCTAAGCAGTGGCAAGGGTAGGGATCCCGGCCATGAAAGTGGGGGGCGGGCCATAAAGTCACCCAGGCGCTAGTACTAAGGCAGGCTTTCCAACTTCCTCCCTGGAGTAGGGAGCAGCTGGGAAGACTGTGGCAGTGACATGGGAATTGGCAACAGGTAGGACCCGAGGAGGATGGCGCGGGGGGGGGGGAGCACCAAAACAGGCGGCAGTGCGGTGACCCAGGGCGACCCGCTACACTCACCGTCCTCTCCCTCCTCTTCCACCTGGTCGGCCCAGCTGGGCTTCGAACTGCGGGGACAAGTTTGCGGAGAAAGGCGGTTGGGTCAGTGAGGGCCACCCTCCGCGGCCTTGGCACATCTCGGCCCAATAACACTCCCCAGAATCTCCCCGATCGCCTCCCGAGAGCTCCTCCGCGACCCCGTACTCACTCAAAGTCTCCGGTCGGCATCGCCAAGTCTTCCCCACGCAGCTTAAGCCCGGGCCAGAGGGCGGAAGTGCGGGGGAACGAAACTTCTGGTTCCGCCGCCGGC